GCTTCACACAGATAGGTTGTCGGAAATGGCAATAGGGATTTAAGTGCTGTGGTGGCAATCTCGGGGTATTCTGCCAAGACTTTAATCCAGAACACCGGCAGAGTTGTTGTTTCGAACGTAGTCTTAAGGCCGCCGTCATTTGCAATCTCCAACAGTTGATCTTCTTCTTGCATTGACAAGCTAGATTCACCCGATTTGTTGGCAAATGGGTCGCGGATCCATTCCTTACCAGTTCGTGGGTCTTTTGTGGTTGGGAAGTAGCGCTCGAACTCTTTTAAAAGCAAAGACAGGTGATCGTGAACCAACTGGGAGAATGGATCTTCAGGCTCTGTCTCGCCTAAAATACCCGCTAATGTCTGAAACATGTCGAAAATGCCTCTGTTCACACGTCGTCCCCATAACTCCATTTTGACTTTAAAGGCAGCTACTTTGTCAGCCAACTTGAAAACAGTTGTCATTTTCCCTTGAAGGCACAGATTGAGTTCATTCAGCAGGTTGAATATGTCACTGAAATGTGCTCCCAGCGGTGACTTCTTTTCTAAGAGAAATCTTTGCAATGGGTCTCGCAATTCAAATACTCTCTGTAGCGACTTTCCTCTGGATAACCATCTTATTTCTGTATATAACAGAAGGCATCTGTACTCTGCGTCCATCTCCTCACAAAGCTGCTCAAACAGGCGCGAGTTAAGGGCGTGTGCTTTGATGTAATTAATAACTTTAACGACATCAATCAATACGCTGTTGAATTCTGGTGACATTTTTCGGCTTGCTAGCACTTCCCTGTGAATGAGACAATGCGTAGCTTCACTCTCAGGTGCAACTTCTTTAATCCGAGAAGTTAAACCAGATAGACGTCCGGTCATAGCAGCAGCTCCGTCTGTGCATATGCCTATACAAAAGGACCATTTTAGTTGTCTTGATATATAACCATCCAGTGACTTGAGCAGTTCTGCTCCTGTGGTGTTGGTTGGCAAAGATAGTGCACATAACGAATCCTCATGCACATCTTCCTGATATAGATATCGCACATAAACAAGTAGTATTGCCTTGCTGTCAATATCTGTAGATTCGTCAACCTGGAGTGCGTACCACGGCGATGCATTAATCCTATCCAACAATTGCTTTTCAATGTCTTCGGCTGTTTCCTCAATGCGCCTAGTCACAGTGCTAGCCGACAAAGGCACATGTGCTATCTTTTCCACAGCAGTTTCTCCTAGTATTTCACGGCAAATGTCTTTAGTGGCGGGCAAGATTAATTCTTCACCAATATTGAATGGCTTTTTAGCTTTAGCAATGCGGTTAGCCACCAAATATGCTCTTAGTGCACTCTCCTTTATTGATGTGGTGGCCATCATAAATTTTTTCTGTCCTTCGTGCTCCCGTTTTTTTCTTTCAAAATACTCCAAGGACTTGTCTTTTAATCCAGGGTGCTTGGCGTTCAAGTGGCGAAGCAGTTTTGAAGGTTTCATTGCGTTGTTAGAGAGTTGATCGCCGCAAACTATGCAGAGCGGTTTTGCTTTGTGTGAATCGCCTGTCCCGACAAAACGATACTTCAAGTAGGACTCATGGTATTGTCTGTTAAAAGTTGCATGTTTCTTTGATGTTGAAGGCTCTTCGGTCTCTTCACTGAGCCTTTTCTTTTTTCCAAGGAAACTTTCTAAGGACGTCTGTTTGTATTCATTTTTGCTAACTTGTGAGTTAAATTTGTGCAGACACAATACACACGTACACCAAGCACTGTTAAACCTGAGAAAGTACCGGTGAACAGAGAAAGGAGTGATAGACACTTTCTTTTTACAAAAAACAAACAAAACCGCATAAAGCACACAAAACAGTAGAGAGGAATCATAGTCACGTGGTCTTTGGACGACTAAATGGCAGACGAGCCAGTTTCTCTTTTATAGCCTTACTATACACTCTCGCTGTGTGAGGCGTCAGAATCGAGAGAGAAGACGAAGTTCTTTATTAGTTCCAATGCAAATGTCGCGTCGCGCTTTCGTTTTTTATTTATGATATTTACAGTTACGATGATTGTTTTTTTTTATTAAAACTAAATGAATGAGAAAATAGTTGCAGAAGATTTTTCTTTTACTTTTTAAAACATTAAAAAATTTAGGTTACTACCTTCGGGAGCATATTTTTCTTTAAATAAATAAAATTTTAATGGAACACAGATATTTTTAATTTGGGGTATAAACCTGGGAGTTTAAATTCAGTTTCAATGAAATGGGCGGCCCGGTACCATTCGATCCACGGACCGGGGGTTGGGGACCACTGCCTTAGATGACTCAACTACCTCTTTTACCTTTTATCCTATTTTTCAAGTTCCAGGAACACATTTCACTTAGAGGGGTACAAGGAGGGGTTGCTCTTATGATTGAGGTAGGTAAAACTGACAGCCAATTAAAGATGTTAGTGCAAAAACCACGTGACATCGTCGACTAACTGAAGATAATTCGTCGGTATTTAGTTAGATGCTTACTTTTCAGCATGGCGAAGAGAATTGTCGCTTTCATTTAAAATGGATGTAATAAAAAAATCCGAAGAAAATTCTTTCACCTCGAAGAAAGCTTTGGCGGAGTCTTCTAATGTCCTAGAATCAACGTTAAGAGGGATTTTAAAAAATCGAGAAGCGATTTTGACCTTTCTGGAGAAAGAGGAAGTGTCAATGAAGAAACTGTTCAACAGTGGAAAGAGCAATTGGCCACTTTAATAAAAGGATACGAACTAAAAAACATCTACAATTGTGACGAAACAGAACTTTTTTTTAAATGATGCCCGACAAAACTTTATCATTTAAAGGAGAATCATGTCATGGTGGGAAGAAAAGTAAAGAAAGGTTAACTGTCTTGTTATGTTGCAACGCTGATGGCTCAGAAAAATTCACACCATTAGTCATTGGAAGATCAAGCAAGCCGCGATATTTTGAGAATGTTAAAAAGCTCCCATGCGACTACAGTAGCAATAAAACGGCGTGAATGACATTGAAAATATTTTTTGGATTTCCTTCATAAATTTGATAGAAAAATGGAAAAAGTAAAACAAAAAGTTATTTTATTCATGGATCAATACCCTGCTCATCCACAAGACTTACCGAATTTCAATAACACGAAAGTAGTTTTATTCCCTGCAAAATTCAACCCTTGGATCTAAGCATCATCCGTTGTGTAAAAGTACACTATAGAAAAACTTTAACTCGTCGTCTTTTGGCTTCCATGGAAACAAAACTTCAGGCAAAAGACGAGCTAAAGCAAATCACTGTCCTTGATGCAATGCACATGATGTGCTCATCATGGAGAAGCATCACAGACAAGTGTGTTCAAAACTGCTTTAAAAAAGCGGGATTTCTGCTTCCAGAAGAATCTGAAGGTGAGGAGGCAGAGCCCGAAAATGAAAACGACATTAGTGAAGAGGATTGGAATACTTTGTATGGTGGAATAGGTAATTGTACTTTCTACGAATTCGTTGACGTAGATGAGCATTTAATTACGGCTCAAATACAAGATATTAGAGAAATTGCAGCTGAAATAAATGGTGGCGACAATGATGAAGAGATAGACGACATTGATGAAGAAGATACCGCAAAAGTTCCCCCAACTCACACAGCCGCTTTACAGGCATTAGAAACTCTGCGTGATTATTTTCAATTTCATTCTGGAAGTGAAGGAACTTTTTCAAGTCTTGATGGACTTGAAAAGACTCTTTTTGAAAACTCCCAAAAACAAACCTCGATTGTAAATTATTTTGTGAAAAATTCATAATTGGAATAAAAAATTAAATTTGGGTATGTAAGCATTTTAATTTTCTTTAACTTATTAATTNTTCTAATCGGCAATCCAAGCAAACGATTTCTCATATCATCTTCATAATCTTCTTTCAAGAAATGCTTACTGCATATTCGTGCATGTTTTATATTAACTGGGTCATTTCGTTTGCAACGTTGAAGCCATTCTTTACATAGTTGTACATTTACTTTAGGGAAAGCATGGAAAATTATATTTTTTCCTTTTGCATTTCTATCAGAGTTTTTGCAAGTTGCAATCGCACAAACTGGCATTTCGTCAATAATTTTAAATTCTTATAATTCACTTTAAAAGACTGAGGAAAATCATTAAAAAAGCAACGAAAGTCTTGCAATATATCTCAAAAAGGAATACTCCAATTTTAGTTGAGAGTTAGTTAGACCGAACGCTCCGTTCTTGAAGTAAAAGTTCAAGCTTTGCGCCAAAGTGACGTCACAGGGGAAAATCGGAGGCTTGGCGCGGCAAGAGCTTCTTCAAAGGAATGAACCAGCCCTTGTCTTTTCTTTAGCCCTGGTTGAACTTCATCAAGATTTTGTGTACATATGCATTCATCAATTTTTAATGCTCTTTTTTCATATTTCTATCGCAAATAATGTAATATTATAAATTAAGATAGCCATGATTTGATGAATATGCATACTGTCTACAATTTTTCATTGGCAATTTATGTTCATCACCGATCATGTTTATATTCTTGTAAGTGTTACCACAATGTCACAAAAACAAAATGTTTTATTCACTGCATAATTTTCATGATGTATGGGGTAGGGGCCGCTGCGCGGCCTAGGTACCCAATTTTTGCTAATAAAAAAAAAGACATATATTATTTATATACATAATTTCTCTTGAGTTTATATTTAAAAATGAAGGGGAAAGCTTATAACAAATCTACAGGTTATAGAGCCAGAAAACAAAAGTTTCACGGCAAAAAAGATGGTAATACGTCTCTAAACAATTCTGCTTCTGCTAAAAAGCTAAAACTGGATGCTTCTGTTTGCTATAAAAAAGAACCGAAGGAACTATCTGGGTATAGATTTGTTGATATTTCTGTGTTATTTCCTGCTCTAAATCAACAATTATGTTGTAAAATCTGTAAATCTGACATCAGTATTTCAGAATGTAACATTAGAGGTGCAGCTTCTTCATTTTTAATCAATTGTGACTGCCATAATAGTGCAAAAATTGATAGCTGTGTCATATTGGGTGATAAAAACAATATATCAAATGTGAACAGACGAATTTTGTATAGCATGAGATGCATAGGAGTTGGGTTGCAGGGCCTTCAAACTTTCTATGCATGCCACCTCCCATAACACGCAAATGTTATAAGAGATAAACAAAAGAATAGCACAAGTTACTCGAGACACAGCAACAAAGTCAATGGTTGCAGCTGCTGACGAAGCAATTCAATCAACTTCAATTTCTGATATTGTTGTTAGCGGGAAAGACTAGGGGGCTTTCTTCTAAAATTGGCATTTGCTCTGGGATAGGTATTGAAGTGTTATCTAACCATTGTAAAAGTTGCGAAAGAAAAGTTCTACAACATTTATGCTCCAAAAACCATACAGGCTCTGCGGGAGCGATGGAACTTGTGGGAATGAAAACAATTTTTTCCAGGTCAGTGCTAGCAATGCGTGAAATATCTTGTTGATGGTGACTCGGAAACCTACAATGAAGTTTTTAAAGCTAAACCATATGGAGAAATGCAAGTCGAGAAACTGGAATGTGTCGGTCATGTCCAGAAGCGCATGGGAGCAAGGCTCCGTAAACACAAGGAGAAAATGAGAGGCGTCAAACTTCCCGATGGAAAGACTGTCTGGGCGTGGTCGACTCACTGATGATTTGATTGACAAAATTTCTGTCTACTATGGTAATGCTATCCATAGCAATACTCGCTCCGTAGATGCAATGAAAACTGCTATATGGGCAGTGTATTGCCATTTATTTTCCAGTGATGCAGAGCCACTGCATATGTTTTGCCCCAATGGGGAAACCTCTTGGTGTAAATACAAAAAGCATATTGAATCTGGAGATACTACCCCATTCGTCCACGAAAATAGTGTCCCTGAGGAGGTAATGAAATCAGAAAAAAAAAATCATTGCTGATTTAGCAAATCCAAACTTTTTAAAAAAGTGTCTCTCTGGGCGAACTCAAAACCAAAATGAGTCGTTCAACTCAGTTATATGCCGAGTTTGCCCCAAAACCTCGGGATCTTCAAAAATAATTGCAGACATAGCTGCTAATGATGCAGTCGTAACTTTTAATGATGGAAAGTTGGGTCGAAGAGAGACCTTAACAGCACTGGAGTTAAAAGTTGGGCACTATGAAAGGTAAGCTAGAAAAGTGGACACTGAAAGAGTAAAAACAGTTGAAAAGCGAGCAATGTTGGCAAGTTTAGAGTCACAACGAGGAAGAAGGCAGAGTAATAAGCTGAAAAATGAGCTTCTCAAAAAAAAAAGAGAAAGAAATATTTATGAACCTAGTTGTCATTAGATGTTTTAAATGTACCTATTATCTGAATTACTTTACTAGATGTTTGAAATATACCTTTTGTACCTACAGCATTTGAAAAAGTTTTTATTACTAAATGTTGTGAATCCTCTTAGTGATATTTTATCTAATGTTAAGTTATGTACTTTTTTTTATTAATAATTGCAATAATTGT